CCCCAAAACCCCAAAACCCCAAAACCCCAAAACCCCAAAATTGCTAAAATTTATAGAATAATTAGAAAAATGTATAGTATCAACATTAAGCGATTTCAGCCAAATGAGTCCCATCCGCTGCTGAAAGGACTGATCTTCGTCCCAATCCTGAGCTACCTTGACAAAAAGGAGGTACTCAAGCTCCAACTTCTCTGAAAGTTCTTCTACGAAGACCTGATCGGAGTGACCTTGCTCTAAACTGGGACAACAAAAGAATTGGTGTTAGGAAAGGCGAATGGAGACTTGGCCCAACCCAGCGATGTATCACTAAAATTAACACAAAGGAAGAGAAAATCATCATGTTTTATTCCTCCAATGATGGTGGAGAGTTTATAGATTTCCCCCTTCCTGATGAATTTGCTAATATACCTATGGACCAGATGACATTGGTGGAGCCTAATTCCATATATGCTCTTGGGCTTGATTTCCGAGGGAGAGACTGCTTCTACAAATACGATCTCTTGACCAGACAAGTGCATGACATGCAGTCACCAACTGTGGTACATGAGAACTTTAAGCTATGATCTTCAGGAAGAGAATACGTATTTATTATTGGCACCTTGAGTAACAAAGTCTGAGAGAAATATTGAATAGCAACCAATCAATGGACTCTACTTCCTTCCTTACCAGAATTTGCCTTGACTACCCATTGTTTTGCTGATTTCAACTTTATTAATGTAATTATACATCCCTTCCAAGTAAACCACATGAAGAAGAATGCTTATTACAGGCTGAGCATAGATGACCCAAAGACATGGGAGGATGCAGGATCGTCTGGAGGTGTATCTGGCTTTGATAAACCAATAGATCTATGTGCTAAGTTACCTGTTCCAGCAAAATATCCTGCCAGGATTGTTAATCATCCCTTCTACTACTTCATAGACACCACCGGCCAATTCGTGATGAAATGAGAGTATAAATCCCGTAAGAACTTCAGGATGATTGACAGTTACCGTTACTTAAACGAGAAGGAGCGCAAGAAGAAAGCTAAAAAGATGCTTAAGCAGAAAATGAATAGTAATAAGGATTGAATAATTTTTTAAAAAAGCTAATTTTTCAACCAAGAGTAAAGAATTGGGGTTTTGGGGTTTTGGGGTTTTGGGGTTTTGGGG